TCTACAACATTCGCAGAGTACGACCCTACCTTACACAGAAAGCAGCACAGGTCCTAATCCAGGCACTTGTCATCTCCTGTCTGGATTACTGCAACTCGCTGTTGGCTGGGCTCCCTGCCTGTGCCATTAAACCCCTACAACTTATCCAGAACGCCGCAGCCCGTCTGGTGTTCGACCTTCCCAAGTTCTCTCATGTCACCCCGCTCCTCCGCACACTCCACTGGCTTCCAGTTGAGGCTCGCATCTACTACAAGACCATGGTGCTTGCCTACGGAGCTGTGAGGGGAACGGCACCTCCTTACCTTCAGGCTCTGATCAGACCCTACACCCAAACGAGGGCACTACGTTCATCCACCTCTGGCCTGCTAGCTTCCCTACCTCTACAGAAGCACAGTTCCCGCTCAGCCCAGTCAAAGCTATTTGCTGCTCTGGCACCCCAATGGTGGAACAAGCTCCCCCACGACACCAGGACAGCGGAGTCACCTGACCACCTTCCGGAGACACTTGAAACCCTACCTCTTTAAGGAATACCTGGAATAGTATAAAGTAACCCTTCTACCCCCCCCTCCCCCACCCCCCCATAAAAAAGAAGAAGAAAAAAGTGGTTGTCCCACTTGCTATCATAAGTTGAATGCACCAATTTGTAAGTCGCTCTGGATAAGAGCGTCTGCTAAATGATGTAAATGTAAATGTAATGAAAGTATAGAGCCATGTTTATTTGTACTTATAAACTGGGTGGTTCTAGCCCTGAATGCTGATTGGCTGACAGCCGTGGGACATCACACCGTATACCACGGGTATGACAAAACGTTTATGTTTACTGCTCTAGGGGGTTTGTGGTATATGGCCAATATACAACAGCTAAGAGCTGTGTCCAGGCACTCTGCGATGCCTCGTGCATGAGAACAGCCCTTAGCCGTGGTATAATGGCCATATACCACACCTCCTCGTGTCTTATTGCTTAAATATAACACAATCGACTGGGATTTAAAGGGCACGTGCACCTTGGGTGTACTCATTAGTCCCAAAGAAAATTCACCTAAAACGAGTCTCTATTGGATCAATTCAGCTACGTCGCTCCCCGTTTTGTTCCGTTTGCTTCCATTTAATAAATGTTTTTCCATAGAATTTTATTTTACATTCTGCGACTAGTGCTGCCTTCAAAACAACTGGGAACTCGAAACTGGGAATCTCCGATTTCCGACTTCAGTGTGTTCAAGACAACTTGGAACTTGTAAAAAAACGACCTCTGACTGGTACAATTCTATTGTTAAATGCAAAGAGGAACAATGTGTACATATTGAAGAAGCTATTACTTAAATACTGGAAATCAAATGATATTCCAACTTTAAGTGAATGGAAGAATCAAATGCTTTATTATTTAAATATTGAAAAAATCTGGCTACAGATAGAAACAACATAACACAATCTGAAGCCATATTGGACAGAGGCTTGCAAGCATTGGAAACAACCAATGGATGAAACCAATGGCTATTGATTATGAGAATAAATAAGAAACAATATAATAAATAAATAAAATATTGAACAAATATGGATAAGTAGTGATAGGATGGCAACATGTGGGTCTAAGCAAGTGTGGTGTCATTAATGTTTGTCCAGTTTTATGTTTTTTTTTCCTTTACTAATCTTTTTCTGTTTTGACTGTTGTGCAATAAGTCCTTGCCTAGTCATGTCGAGTCTTCTGGATCTATGTATGTCTAAATGTTTAATTTAATTGTAGGAAAATGAAATAAAATAATTAACAAAAAAACAAAACCGTTTTGCAATAGAATCGGCTTAACGAATACGCTCCTGTTTGTTAGAGTGGCTGGACCTGACCACTGGACACAGATTGATACAACAATGTTACAATGTACACGCTTAGCATTAAATGTGCTGTATAGAACCAAAAAGTCTGCTTCAGCTGTCCCCACAGGAGAACCCTTTGAAGAACTGTTTTTTTCCCCAGGTAGAACCCTATTGGGTTCCATGTAGAACCCAAAAGAGTTCTACCTGGAACCAAAAAGAGTTCTACCTGGAACCAAAAAGGGTTCTACCTGGAACCAAATAGGGTTCTCCTATTGGGGACAGTCGAAGAACCTGTTTGAATACCTTTGTTCTAAGAGTGTAGCCTACCTGTGATGATTAATTGTTGTAACTACAGAGATTCTATTAAACTACCGGTACTATGTCATTATATGACTGTACCTACAGAGATTCTATTAAACTACCGGTACTATATGATTATATGACTGTAACCACAGAGATTCTATTAAACTACCGGTACTATGTCATTATATGACTGTAACCACAGATATTCTATTAAACTACGGGTACTATGTAATTATATGACTGTAACTACAGAGATTCTATTAAACTACCGGTACTATGTCATTATATGACTGTAACCACAGAGATTCTATTAAACTACCGGTACTATATAATTATATGACTGTAACCATAGAGATTCTATTAAACTACCGGTACTATGTCATTATATGACTGTAACCACAGAGATTCTATTAAACTACGGGTACTATGTAATTATATGACTGTAACTACCGGTACTATGTCATTATATGACCTTAACTACAGAGATTCTATTAAACTACTGGTACTATATAATTATATGACTGTAACTATATGTAGATCTAACCCATAGACATTATCTATCCATTCCCCCTATCTGGTTTCTTGGTGCAGGCAAGGCTATAAATTGGCCAAAATAACTGTCTTGGCTTATATTATGAATGCATGCACCCCTCTACTCTGTCATCAAAATTATGAGATTTATAAAAACATTAATTTGATCCAACACGTCTGATGAGTGTCTACCAAAAGACTCTTGTCCTTGACTCTCTCTCTCTCTCTCTCTCTCTCTCTTTTCTCTTCTTCAAATTCCTTGAAGAAACCATTTCCATATCGACGAAATGCAACTACCACACATTTTATTAGCCTAATTAAATAAAATGTAATTCTCAGCTTCTCAAGCGATCGATCCACGTGATAGCCAGTTTTCGCCAAACAACCGCTCACTCACGCACTTTCCGATTCCCATACCAGTTTGAGGGAAAAGTGCGTCCACTTCCTTCAGATATATGCGCTGCGTCAACCGTTTGGGGTTTAGACTTGTAGTAGCCTATATCAGAACATGGCTAGGTTTGTAGTGGTCCTGTTCTTTGTCCTGGTTTTCTCCGCCACAACTGCGGCGCATGAGGAGGTCATTGATGTGATTCTAGCCAGCCTCGCCAAAAGCGCATCGTTCCTGGAGCAGGAGCACCGCAACATCAACCTAGACGGAGTGGTCGGGTACATCATCCTGCAGGGTGAGTACCGTATTGGTCCGAATATAAGACGACCCTGATTATAAGACGACCCCCCGTTTTTCAACACAAACATTTAGAAAAACAGATTTGCAGACTAGATTTGCCGAACAAAGAACTTCATTTTATTTTAAAATAACAATATTAAAAACACAGTGAATTAAACACAAAGGCAAACTATGTACAGTATGATTCAAAATTAATATCAAGCAATAATAAAGCAACATTTTTAAATAACAGAGAAAATACAGGCCACACATTTAACTAAACTTAACAAAAATTCGCCAAACTTCTCCTCCGATGTCTCTCTATCCCTCACACACGTCCTCTGCCCCGCTGTGTTCGCTCTCGCTGTCATCGCTCCCCAGCTGCTCCGCTTCCACCGGCTCCTCCCAAAGCACGTCGTCCGGGTAGGAGTGCTTCTTCCTCAGGTTGATAACAAAGCGCTGAAACGAAAGCAGCTTCTCTCCGAAGTCTGACGGCAGGCGTTGGGCCAAACTCGTTCTCCGTCTAAGTGATAGTCCATTACGCCGCATCATCCTACGACACCAGCCGAGGCTGGCTTTAAATCCAGTGATGTTGAGCTCTCTGGCGATTTCCAGGGCCTTAACCTGGATGACAGCTCTGGTAATGGGCATTCCCTCACTTCTTTTTTCCCTGACATATTCAAAAACCCTCCGGTCAACCTCAATGAAACGACCACTTTGAGGACCACGGAAGGATTTTCGCTGACTGTTAGCATCTTTTAGACGTTTTTTTCTTTCTGCTCGCCATCTTCTTACATTCAACCAGTGACCCCGATGTTTTGCCAGTTGGCAGTGTTAGATGACTCTGCTTATTGACAACCATTATTGAAATTGGCATCATAGCTCCTCCGCTTTGTTATTGACCTGGCCCACTTTGAGCCATTTGTCCTCTAAATGGTCAGCCGTCTTTCCATCTTTAAACATGGGTAACGGGCTGTTGTTAAGGACGCCTCTTCTCATCCGTCCGGACGATTTTTGGCGCCATCTGTGCCCGCGAAGGGTGTATGACATTAAGGGACGCCGAAGAAGAGAAACTGCGCTCTGAATACTAGACCCCAATATAAGACGACCCGACTTTTTTGGACCTATTTCGAGGGAAAAAGGCCGTCTTATATTCGGACCAATACGGTAGTATATTAGCGTCATTAATATCACTGCCAGTAGGATCATTCTATATGGAAAGAAAATAACAGAAAGGCCTGCACACTGTAGCATGCACTGTGTAGCATATATCCTCCCAATTACCGTGACAACGTTTCGATCCACAAGGATCTTCTTCAGGTCCAACGGAATAGACAACCCAAATATCTGAGTAAATACATGTCGAGGAAAAATGTATTATTTTGATGCATGTCTGGACATTAAATTGTAGTCTATCTATGTGGCTGTTGTGTTAGGCTAGTGCTGGCTCAGGAAGTCAGAATGCACCAATTGCCTCCCGTTCCGCTATTGCGGTGTCCCGCATAACAAGGCACAGTTTTTCCAGGCTGTCTGATTGAAATAAAACAGTAGAATATGTGATTTGTCGATATGGAATACAAACCTTTATGGTTTATCAAGGTTTGTTATTGTTATTGTGTGTGTGTCAACATTGCAGATAGGAGAGGCAAATATGACTTAATAATTTTTAAGAAGCCATTTAGGATTACAAATGTATTTTGAAAACATCTCTTTCCATGTCCTTGTTGTCCGGGCCCCAGCGGAGTTGAAGGAAGCAGTAAGAACTTGGCCCCACACTGACCCTCTGAGCTGGTCTCAGCGCACCGCTACCGTTACCCTGGTCAAGAGGTTGGACCAGAGCCTGGCCAAGGCTGTCACTGAGCTGGAGAAGACTGACCCCAAATACTACAGAGGTAAATAGTACTACACCTCTCTTTTCTAAATTCAATTCAATTCAATTCATTTCAATTCAAGGGGCTTTATTGGCCTGGGAAACAAATGTTAACATTGCCAAAGCAAGTGAAATGGATAATACACAAAAGTGAACTAAACAATAAAACATTTACAGGAAACATTACACTCACAAAAGTTCCAAAAGAATAAAGACATTTCAAGTGGCATATTATGTCTAAATACAGTGTTGTAACGATGTGCAAATAGTTAAAGTACAAAAGGGAAAATACATAAACATAAATATGGGTTGAATTTACAATGGTGTTTGTTCTTCACTGGTTGCCCTTTTCTTGTGGCAACAGGTCACAAATGTTGCTGCTGTGATGGCACACTGTGGTATTTCACCCAATAGATATGGGAGTTTATCAAAGTTGGATTTGTTTTCAAATTCTTTGTGGATCTCTGTAATCTGAGGGAAGTATGTGTCTCTAATATGGTCATACATTTGGCAGGAGGTTAGGAAGTGCAGCTCAGTTTCCACCTCATTTTGTGGGCAGTGTGCACATAGCCTGTCTTCTCTTGAGAGCCAGGTCTGCCTACGGCGGCCTTTCTCAATAGCAAGGCTATGCTCAATGAGTCTGTACATAGTCAAAGCTTTCCTTCATTTTGCATCAGTCACAGTGGTCAGGTATTCTGCCACTGTGTACTCTCTGTTAAGGGCCAAATAGCATTCTAGTTTGCGCTGTTTTTTTGTTAATTATTTCCAATGTGTCAAGTAATTATATTTTTGTTTTCTCATGATTTGGTTGGGTCTATTATTTGTGTTGCTGTCCTGGGGCTCTGTGAGGTCTGTTTGTGTTTGTGAACAGAGCCCCAGGACCAGCTTGCTTAGGGGAGGGACTCTTCTCCAGGTTCATCTCTCTGTAGGTGATGGCTTTGTTATGGAAGGTTTGGGAATCGCTTCCTTTTAAGTGGTTATAGAATTTAACGGCTCTTTTCTGGATTTAGATCATTAGCGGGTATCGGTCTAATTCTGCTCTGCATGCATTATTTGATGTTTTACGTTGCACACTGAGGATATTTTTGCAGAATTCTGCATGCAGTCTCAATTTGGTGTTTGTCCCATTTTGTGAATTCTTGGTTGGGGAGCGGACCCCAGACCTCACAACCATAAAGGGCAATGGATTCTATAACTGATTCAAGTATTTTTTGCCAGATCCTAAATTGGTACAGTGCCTTGGGAAAGTATTCAGACCCTTTGACCTTTTCCACATTTTGTTACGATACAGCCTTATTCTGAAATTGATTAAATATATATTTTTCCTCATCAGTCTACACACAATACCCCATGATGACAAAGCAAAAACAGGTTTTTAGAAATGTTTGCTAATTTATTAAAAATAAAAAACAGAAATATCACATTTACATAAGTATTCAGACCCTTTACTCAGTACTTTGTTGAAGCACCTTTGACAGTGATTACAGCCTCAAGTCTTCTTGGGTATGACGCTACAAGCTTGGCACACCTGTATTTGGGGAGTTTCTCCCATTCTTCTCTGCAGATCCTCTCAAGGTCTGTCAGGTTGGATGGGGAGTGTTGCTGCGCAGCTATTTTCAGGTCTCTCCAGAGATGTTCGATTGGGTTCAAGTCCGGGCTCTGGCTGGGCCACTCAAGGACATTCCGAAGCCACTCCTGCGTTGTCTTGGCTGTGTGCTTAGGGTCGTTGTCCTGTTGGAAAGTGAACCTTCGCCCCAGTCTGAGGTAGTGAGCACTCTGGAGCAGGTTTTCATCAAGGACCTCGCTGTACTTTGCTCAGTTCATCTTTGCCTCGATCCTGACTAGTCTCCCAGTCCCTGCCGCTGAAAAACATCCCCACAGCATGATGCTGCCACCACCATGCTTCACCGTAGGGATGGTGCCAGGTTTCCTCCAGACGTGATGCTTGGAATTCATGCCAAAAAGTTTCATCAGACCAGAGAATGTTGTTTCTCATGGTCAGAGTCTTTAGGTGCCTTTTGGCAAACTCCAAGGGGGCTGTCATGTGCCTTTTACTGAGGAGTAGCTTCCGTCTGGCCACTCTACCATAAAGGCCTGATTGGTGGAGTGCTGCAGAGATGGTTGTCCTTCTGGAAGGTTCTCCCATCTCCACAGAGGAAGTCTAGAGCTCTGTCAGAGTCACCATCGGGTTCATGGTCACCTCCCTGACCAAGGCCCTTCTCCCCCGATTGCTCAGTTTGGCTGGGCAGCCACCTCTAGGAAGAGTCTTGGTGATTCCAAACTTCATCCATTTAAGAATGATGGAGGCCACTGTGTTCTTGGGGATCTTCAATGCTGCAGACATTTTTTGGTACCCTTCCCCAGATCTGTGCTTCGACACAATCCTGTCTCTGAGCTCTACGGACAATTCCTTCAAGGCTTGGTTTGTGCTGTGACATGCACTGTAAACTGTGGGACCTTATATAGACAGGTGTGTGCCTTTCCAAATCATGTCCAATCAATTGAATTTACCACAGGTGGACTCCAATCAAGTTGTAGAAACATCTCAAGGATAATCAATGGAAACAGGATGCACCTGAGATACATTTTTAGTCTTTTAGTCTCAAGGCACTGTATGTCGAATTTTATATTCCTTTTGATGGCATAGAAGGCCCTTCTTGCCTTGTCTCTCAGATCATTCACAGCTTTGTGGAAGTTACCTGTGGCGCTGATATTTAGGCCGAGGTACGTATAGTGTTTTGTGTGCTCTAGGGCAACGGTGTCTAGGTGGAATTTGTATTCATGGTCCTGGCAACTGGACCTTTTTTGGAACACCATTATTTTTGTTTTACTGAGATTTACTGTCAGGGCCCAGGTCTGACAGAATCTGTGCAGAAGATCTAGGTGCTGCTGTAGGCCCTCCTTGGTTGGTGACAGAAGCACCAGATCATCAGCAAACAGTAGACATTTGACTTCAGATTCTAGTAGGGTCTCTCTCTCTCCCGTAGAGTTTGAGCCTCTGTTGACCTGGACCTTCTGGTCGGTACCTCATGAGTGGAGCTCCACAGATCCCTCTCTGGTCTATTCCTCTGTCCGCACCATGGAGTGTTACGATGAGACACAGAGCGACAAGTGTATGACCTTGCTACTGGGAACATGGTAAGCACACACACCACGCTTTTGAGCGGTAATGCCTCACTAAATCTCATGTATTTCAATGTGGTAGTAGGAGTGTCATATAACCCAGAAGGCCTACAGCTTCCGTTGGCCAGTTTGCTAATACATTATTTATATATGTGTGTACGTGCCTGTGTATGTGTGTACGTGCCTGTGTGTGTGTGTGTGTACGTGCCTGTGTGTGTGTGTACGTGCCTGTGTGTGTGTACGTGCCTGTGTGTGTGGACGTGCCTGTGTGTGTGTACGTGCCTGATCGTGTGTGCGCGTGCATGCATGTTATATGTGTGTGTGTGATGGTTAGTCAGGAAGAACAACGGGACTCCTTGCATCGTGACCAACTCGTGTCGTGACACCATGACGAGGTTTGGATGTCCTCACTACTCCCTCTCTCACCAGCTGCTTTACTTCATGGTGGGAGCCAATGTGAGACCACACCCACAACCACACAACTTTCTATGCTCCACTCCTGTCTTCTCCAATTTCCCTCCCTCCCTAATCCCCTCCTCCCTCCCTCCCTCTCTCTCTCTTCCTCCTTCCCTGCCACCCTCTCTCCCTGCCACCCTCCTCCAGAGAGGTTGTTCTGCCATGTTGAAGGGGGACATGCGTACGTCGCGTGCTAACCTAACAGAGAGGCAGTACCAGAGGATATTCTGCTCCAACATGCTGAAGGGAAACATGGACATCATACAGAAGGACTTCACCGGGGAGACCCAGGACCTCTTCAACGAAAACAGTCAGTCTCAAATGACACCCGATTCTGCTTTTAGAAAACAATTCAATCTATAGATGCGCTTTTAAAAAAACCATAACATGTAAAGCCTTTATAAGCTGTAGTGTTTCAAATGAGACCATGGTTTAACTTTCTGTAACTTCCTCCCTGTCCAAAGTAATGCTGTGTGGATTGGCTGGTTTCTCTGACTTCCTCAAAGTTGATTGGCTGCAGCACATTCTGAGGCTGCAGGACCAGGAAGTGGGATGTTTTACACAGCCCCACAGAAGAGTGAAGAGGAGAGAGAGAATGTTGAAGGGTGTGTGTCAAGAATATCCCTGGCATTATGCATGCCCATACGCACGCATACACACAGAGAGAAACATCACATACAGAGAGAGAAACAGCACACACACACACACACACAGACACAGACACAGACAAACAGAAACCAGCTTCAATAAGCTTTTACTGTTCTATCTTCTCCTCCTCCCTCCTCCCTCCAGATGGTTGTGCCAGTCACATAACAGGCGTGTCGGTGAGCGCTCTGGGAGGATACCTCAACTACTACCTGACAGAGCAGGACATCACCAAGAGACCACTCACCTGGATGTGAACCCCTCAAACCCGTAGGGCTCTGGTCAAAAGTAGTGCAGTATGTAGGGCAGTGTTTCTCCAACCTCTCCTGGGGACCACCAGCCGTTCCATGGATTTGATCTATTCCACAGCAGCACCAGTGGTGTAAACTACTTAAGTATTACTTTAAAGTAATACTTTTGGGGGGAATCTATACTTTACTATTTATATTTTTGACAACTTTTACTTTACTACATTCCTAAAGAAAATAATGTACTTTATACTCCATACATTTTCCCTAACACCCAAATGTACTCATTACATTTTGAATGTTTAGCAGGACAGGAAAATGGCCCAATTCACACACTTATCAAGAGAACATCCCTGGTCATCCCTACTGCCTCTGATCTGGCGGACTCACTAAACACAAATGCTTCATTTGTAAATTATGTCTGAGTGTTGGAGTGTGCCCTTGGCTATCCGTAAAAAAAAAAAAACAACACATTGTGCCGTCTGGTTTTCTTAATATTACTTTTGATACCTAAGTATATTTAAAACCAAATAATGTAAGACTTTTACTCAAGTAGTATTTTACTCAAGTAGTATTTTACTGGGTGATTTTCACTTTTACTTGAGTGATTTTCTATTAAAGGTATCTTTACTTTTACTGAAGTATAATAATTGGGTACTTTTTCTACCACTGGCTAGCACACCTGATTCAACTTGTCAACTAATCATCAAGCCCTTGACTACTTGAATCAGGTGAGTTAGTTCAGGGCTACAGCAACATTATGTCAGGTCTGGGGGTCCCTGAGAAGTGGTTTAAGAAGCCCTGACGTAGGGAATAGGACCCTTTGGGACGAATCCCAGGGCCACACAGAGCATCAGGGTCTCATTTAGAAAACGTTTGTAGTTCACACTGATTTCTTCATATATTGTGTGTATGATGAAATCCACAGATTCACAATGCAATTTATAAATCTTAAACTTGAAATGAAAATATGCAATTTACATAGATTTTGTATGCCATTTGTTTTGTGATTTATAAATGAAATGTGCTTATTTATTTGTGACCAACACAGCTTTATTAATTTGTGGAGACATTGTATTGAAACAGAATTTCCTCCTATTTTAAGAAATGATAGTATGCAGAAATGAAGTATAACAACTAAGAACATTTGAAAAGTGAGGCCCCTAGGCCTATGTTCATCTGACTGTTGTTGTGACGTGACTTACTTTAATGTATGACTGTTATTTATCGATTCACCTATCTATGTTTAATTGTCACTTGATTAAATTAATCATGTAACAATTAACTCATTAGGAATTTGGGGCAGCACGGAATAAGTTGTTTAACGAGTTACCATCTCCCGAATTAAACTCTTAGAAGATATATGTTATATATCGATAAGTCACTTATTAAATAATTACCTCTTATCAGTCTCATTCTGAACGTCGCATAATCCTTGAACCTGCAAGAACCCTAACCTTATTGATGAATCAGCAATACACAAATTGGCTTAATTATTTATTTACTAACTAACTAAATAATAACACAATACAAACAAACACACACACACACAGGTTATTGATTACTAACGTAATACAATGAAAACAGGTCCCTAGTGGACTGGACTAACAATAGCATGAATGCTTGGGTAGTGGAGGAGTCAGAATGGAAGGGAGAGACAGAGATTCAAACTATTGTGGTTACTTTGGAAACTACATTCACAGAAATACAAATGCTTAAAACCCCACCCAACATGTATTTACGTGTAGCTGTCCTCGATAGTTGAGTTGATGATGTAGAACTCTGGGTTGCCCACCAGAGATCCCAATGTCCTTGGCAGTTTCTGGTCGTAATGCTGGTTAGAATGGATACTTCAGGATGTACCAGCTTTTGTCGGAGAGGGATTGTCCTTCCCACTTCGTGTCTTTAGTGAAAGTTCTCTAGACGACAATACATGCCAGCTGCAGACTGAGATGATAAGGTCTAGTGCATTGTCTTCTTCTTCACCTCATGTAGAGGTTGAGAGTTTCAGAGTTTCTCCATTTCAAACGTGTGGACTAATGTCTCACGTTTTCTGGTCTTTCTAGTCTAACCATTTTGTAACGTGTAGCTTCAGCTTCACGCTTCTTGGTCTTGTAGAGTGTCAACCATTGTGGGGCTTACTGGTCTGGTAGAAATTCAACCATTTGCAATGTTTGGCTCATGCTTCACGTCTGCTGGTCTGTAGCGTTTCAACCATTTTAAGCCATGGGGCTTGCTGGTCTGATAGAAATTCAACAATTTTCAACGTTTGGCTCACGCTTCACGTCTGCTGGTCTGAGGTGAATTTCGTCACAAGGCTTTTTATGCACTCGGGGTAAAAGGGGCATTCCATCATGTTTGTGCTCATCTGGGCGTGGCCACTGACTGAGAACAAATGAATATGGAAAACAATCATCTCATCTAGAATGCTAAAATCACATTGTTATCTTCACAAAAGTATTATTATACTTAATCATTCGTTTTATACAACAATTAGATGCAAACCTCATAACTGGGAAGTGTACCCCCCCCCCCCAGAGATACAGTTATGTTGTTCCACTGTCTTTAATGACATCACAACATAGTAACGAATTTCCTACATTATTTTAAGTAGGAATATTGTTTCATTATCCACTTTTGGATGTTGGAGTCTTGGCGGGAAGATTTCCTTTGTTATCAAGGAAATTCCCTCTCCCAATACTGCATGGCACGGAAAATAACGTTTCTGCAAGGAATTTACGACCGGTCATAAAACTGGCCCCTAGGAAAGGGGGTGTTCAATCCTTTGCCTAGCAGGAATCTTTGATCCTCAGCCCATGAGGGCAAGTCATGACACTGTTGACTAGCTAGGGGATAGATAGGACCCTTTCTATTGTAGCAGACTGTTGACTAGCTAGGGGATATATAGGTCCCTTTCTATTGCAGCAGACTGTTGACTAGCTAGGGGATATATAGGTCCCTTTCTATTGCAGCAGACTGTTGACTAGCTAGGGGATAGATAGGTCCCTTTCTATTGTAGCAAACTGTTGACTAGCTAGGGGATAGATAGGTCCCTTTCTATTGCATCAGACTGTTGACTAGCTAGGGGATAGATAGGTCCCTTTCTATTGCAGGATAAATGTAAAACAGGAGTAAACGGTTGCAAAACGTTTTTCTACAGTTGGTGACTAATGAGTTCACCTCTGGAGACTCTCAACCAGGGAGAGGGATGCAGAACATGTGACGATCAAGGCAGTGTCGTTGTGTTAAATAGGTTCAGGAAAAATCAGACATCCCTGACTGAACACACACCTGATGAGTCAAATACTTTAATAGTATTTCAGGTGCCCTTGATTTAGCTTGGAATAGTAGCTCATTCCATTGGTTGCATTGTACCGGGCAAACTAATCAAGCTGTATGTGAAAATATTTGATGAATGTATTTGTCTGTTACCCAGAGATACTTCACATTCTGGTTGCGTCCCAAATGTCACCCTGTTCCCTACTTTTTTTTTTACAAGAGCCCTATGGGCACTTTATAGGTAAAAGGGGATGCAGCCTCTGAGCTAACAATACCTGCATGACCAGTATGCTAATGTTGAATCATTTCAACATTTGGATTTGGAATTACTTTTTGAAATTTACTGGAATTGAAATGGAATCAACCCAACCCTGTCATCCACTTCATTCACTACCACAGAGACAGAATCACAAATCACAAACCACTCAATCATGTACAATTATTTTTATTCTGTAGAAAAATAAATACAATTGAATATAGACTAAAGAACAGTGACTGTCTTTTTAAAACGGAAGGTAAAAGAGAAATGACAAACGCACTAAAACTTAGCGTCCCAAATGGCACCCTACAGTGAGGGAAAAAAGTATTTGATCCCCTGCTGATTTTGTACGTTTGCCCACTGACAAAGAAATGATCAGTCTATAACTTTAATGGTAGGTTTATTTGAACAGTGAGAGACAGAATAACAACAAACAAATCCAGAAAAACGCATGTCAAAAATGTTATAAATTGATTTGCATTTTAATGAGGGAAATAAGTATTTGACCCTTCTGCAAAACATGACTTAGTACTTGGTGGCAAAACCATTGTTGGCAATCACAGAGGTCAGACATTTCTTGTAGTTGGCCACCAGGTTTGCACACATCTCAGGAGGGATTTTGTCCCACTCCTCTTTGCAGATCTTCTCCAAATCATTAAGGTTTCGAGCCTGACGTTTGGCAACTCGAACCTTCAGCTCCCTCCACAGATTTTCTATGGGATAAAGGTCTGGAGACTGGCTAGGCCACTCCAGGACCTTAATGTGCTTCTTCTTGAGCCACTCCTTTGTTGCCTTGGCTGTGTGTTATGGGTCATTGTCATGCTGGAATACCCATCCACGACCCATTTTCAATGCCCTGGCTGAGGGAAGGAGGTCCTCCCCCAATATTTGACGGTACATGGCCCCGTCCATCGTCCCTTTGATGCGGTGAAGTTGTCCTGTCCCCTTAGCAGAAAAACACCCCCAAGGCATAATGTTTCCACCTCCATGTTTGACGGTGAGGATGGTGTTCTTGGGGTCATAGGCAGCATTCCTCCTCCTCCAAAAGCGGCGAGTTGAGTTGATGCCAAAGAGCTCCATTTTGGTCTCATCTGACCACATCACTTTCACCCAGTTCTCCTCTGAATCATTCAGATGTTCATTGGAAAACTTCAGACGGGCATGTATATGTGCTTTTTTGAGCAGGGGGACCTTGCGGGCGCTGCAGGATTTCAGTCCTTCACGGCATAGTGTGTTACCAATTGTTTTCTTGGTGACTATGGTCCCAGCTGCCTTGAGATCATTGACAAGATCCTCCCGTGTAGTTCTGGGCTGATTCCTCACCGTTCTCATGATCATTGCAACTCCACGAGGTGAGATCTTGCATGGAGCCCCAGGCCGAGGGAGATTGACAGTTATTTTGTGTTTCTTCCATTTGCGAATAATCGCAAATGGATCGTTCTCACCTTTGGATCGTTCTCATCGTTCTCACCTTCTCACCAAGCTGCTTGGCGATGATCTTGTAGCCCATTCTAGCCTTGTGTAGGTCTACAATCTTGTCCCTGACATCCTTGGAGAGCTCTTTGGTCTTGGCCATGGTGGAGAGTTTGGAATCTTGATTGATTGATTGCTTCTGTGGACAGGTGTCTTTTATACAGGTAACAAGCTGAGATTAGGAGCACTCCCTTTAAGAGTGTGCTCCTAATCTCAGCTCGTTACCTGTATAAAAGACACCTGGGAGCCAGAAATCTTTCTGATTGAGAGGGGGTCAAATACTTATTTCCCTCATTAAAATGCAAATCAATTTATAACATTTTTGACATGCGTTTTTCTGGATTTTGTTGTTGTTATTCTGTCTCTCACTGTTCAAATAAACCTACCATTACAATTATAGACTGATCATTTCTTTGTCAGTGGGCAAACGTACAAAATCAGCAGGGGATCAAATACTTTTTTCCCTCACTGTATGTGCTTTCTTGAGCAGGGGGACCTTAAGTGCGCTGCAGGATTTCAGTCCTTCACGGCGTAGTGTGTTACCAATAGTTTTCTTGGTGACTATGGTCCCAGCTGCCTTGAGATCATTGACAAGATCCTCCCGTGTAGTTCTGGGCTGATTCCTCACCGTTCTCATGATCATTGCAACTCCACGAGGTGAGATCTTGCATGGAGTCCCATGCCGAGGGAGATTGACAGGTCTTTTGGTGTTTCTTCCATTTGCGAATAATCGCACCAACTGTTGTCGCCTTCTCACCAAGCTGCTTGCCGATGGTCTTGTAGCCCATTCCAGCCTCGTGTAGGTCTACAATCTTGTCCCTGACATCCTTGGAGAGCTCTTTGGTCTTGGCCATGGTG